AAGGCGGAGAGGGTTTGTAAAACCAGTCCAGGGGGAGGGGGGAGGTGGAGGAGGGGGAGGAGGAAGAGAACGAAGAATAGGGCAATTGAGCGACCGTTGGCTATGCCAGGCGCGGAGCTTGGAAGACCGGTTTTCGCAACCTCATAACGGTCGCTGTACTGCCCCGAAGAGAATTTATCAAAAGTCTAGATATGCTTGCTAACTGCTCTTCTGAAGTCTCTGATGGGAATTTTTGTAACCTTTATAAATTGTTGGCAAAAAACTGGCGGGATATGACGTCAAACCTGAGCGGGGCACAACTTTTTTAGGCTAATGCTTCATGTTACAGCGGTTACTGCGCCAGGTCTCACATACAGTTGGCTTGTCTGCCACTGGCACGTGACGAAGAGGGCGACGCAATACCTTAAAGTCGTTGCATGAAAAGGTACACTAGTGGAACATATACATATACCTAGAATTCGGAAATTCACTTCAATGTGTTTTCAACAAATCTCGCAGTCATTTTATTGTTTTGCTGCCACCACACATTTGAGGGGAGGTTGAAAGGGCATAAAGTATTACAATTTATTGTACGCCGCAAAGTGGACATTTTAAGGCATGTTAATCAGTACTGACTTCCGGGGTTGGACTTCGGCGATGGGGCGATTGGATACCGTCTCCCAGTCGGCATGTTTAGACCAAAGGCGCTAGATGCATCGAGAAGGCAGAAGCTTGGTGCGTCTCCGTACGCACATCTTGTTATCGTTTCGCCAGGCTCCACTTCTATTATCCCGGTCAGTCGCTTCCTTATCACTACCTTCCAGAGGACTGCCACACTGATGATATCTTTGCTGTTATTGTCTTCCGCGGCTGACAAACTGGTTCCCTTTACTGTAGCCATTCGCATGTCTGAATCACGTGGAGGGTGCAATCAATTGTTAGGCCACCCATGCTCGATCCGACAGACGGCTGTCAATGCTGGCGTGAGGCAAACAGATTGCAGAACTGCGTTTTCCCACAAGTAAAAACAAGGTAAATTTATCTCTAGCATCACGTTTAATACGGGGGGCTTTCTATTTCACCTTCAGAAGGTTGCAATGCCCCTGCTTTACCGAACTGTGTGCTTTACAGCCTGTGCTGCGTTGACTCCCTGTCTGTTAATGCGGCAATCCCCTTGTAGACTGCCTAGACTGTGTCCATACGGCCGCCATTTTACAGGCGATACTGACAGATTCCTTGTTCTGGCAGCTGGCGAGGTTGTATGCAAGATGAGAGCTGTGGGCATGTCGATCAGATCGGAAAGGGTCACGTCTCAGCGTGGTCGTTGGAAAGCGGTCTCTGAATAAGTAATCAAAAATCGGTATAGTGTGTTTTTCTGGACTGCAACCCTCTCCCACTCTTGAATCGTTGGGGATCCTTCCCAACGAAGTATCCTCTTTTTGGAGCATTGTTGCCACTCTGCCATCAAATGACCCATTTTTCCTTCATACTGAGACCCTTTCCACTACAATTCGCGCAACCTTATTAATTATATTCGTCCATTTACGTTCCTGTCATAAACCCAACCCCCAATCTGGAGATTTTTAGACGCATGCATTCTCCCGCTCATTATTTATTGTTATTCTGTTATTTCTCCTGCTTAACTTACAAATAAGATATGCTGGGCTTAAACCGTGCTCTTCGAACGCTCTCTTCTGTCGGTAATGTTTCTTATGTCGTTTTAGTCGATAAGATAATACATTGACATTCCACAACAGTCAAGCAATTCTCTCATCGAATTTTGGATGATATGATCCACCCCTTCATTCTGAACTAAGTGCTGGGAAGTCTTTCCGCCATATACGCCGGGGCTTCCGACATGTATCTTGCCATACATCGGCATATCAACGTTTCGTATAGCTATTTCTGGCCTGATATCCTACTTGTAAATAGACGGAAATACTGAAATGGAGACTTGAACTGTCCCCGTAATAGATGTTCATTTTTATGTAAACCGGTTGACTCCTGCTCAAATACACCTGTTTTTACTGAAAATGTTGAATGTTACTTCAAAAATAAAGTCTCTCAAACTGATTCCGTCCTCAGGTGATAGAGAACTCTCCGTGGCTTCACTGACTTAGGAGGACATCGGATGGGCCCGAAACAAATAATGCTTTACCACTGGCTGTTTTGCCTGTTTGCGGCGCCTACCTCCAAACGGCTGAGTTACTGCGGTCTACGGGAGCCAATGAGGGAGGTGCATGCCCACCCACTAGGCCCCACACAACGGTCGCCTGATGACGACGCACAGGTTTTATTACACTGTTGACCTGCCCGCCCGACTCCATCTGTCGATCATGTGAAATAGAGTGGAGCCTCGGGTGACCAGCAGCCTCATCTACAAGCAATCGAGGCAACGAGCGAGCCACTCGCAGAAAATCTGTTTTGAATGACGAGCTTCCGCGCACTTAACGGGGTGTCAGTGCGTGTGCCTCTGTCCGCCGTTGAGTCTTGCTCCCAGAGCGCGGACCCTCGGTTGCTTGCAGACTGTCAATGAAATAATACAGTTTGGTTGGCTACGATACGCAAAACGAGCGT